AGAGTCACACCAACGGTGTGAGGATCTTCGCTGCTGCCTAGGAACACCCCGTCGAGTCACACTAAGTCCTGAGAACCGTCCACTAAGTTTGTCGGGGACCAACAGCCCCAGCCGGCCGCTGACCCGCGGGGCCCTCTCCCTCTCCCCTCTCAGTAACCTCCACTACTTAGGTCACCTCCTCCATTACGGGGACGTTCTGGGATTACAGAGGTGCTGCTTTTCTAGCCATGGTTTCCACCGAGGTTGAAAGAAGTCTTTCTGAATCTGATCCCGTCACTCCTCTGATTTGTGGTTTTAAAAACGGGCCCTGCAAGCCCGCTTCCTGAGTTACATAGCTCCTGGCTTTCATTGTGTTTGTTAAGGTTTACTTTTCTCACCTGTGAATAGGAATAATACTAATCCTTAAGTCATTAAAAAATAATTTACGTGGCTGATTTAGCACAATACCTAGTTCTTACTGTGCATTAGAAATGTTAACTAGTAGCTATAATTAACTCCTTTTTAAACTTTTATTATCCTCATCACAACCACCCTGAACAGAGCCTAAACAGAAGCCTGTCGGCTTTTGTTCCAGTTCAGGGAACCCATTCCTTCCTAGGTGGCTCAAAGTCTCAGCTAAAACATTACTTTCTCTAAAGTTCCAGACTTTGATTTATACCCAGAATTCCTCGTGTTACTGAATTGAATCTCGTGGCCATTGACCATCCCCCTCCTTTGTGCTCAAGCAGTAACCAGCCCAGCCATAAGGGAGAGAGAGAGAAAAAGAGAGTGCACTTGAGGTACTTTGATTACATGTCTGCTCTCTCCCCCAGACTTTCTGCATGATTGGATTTGTGTCACATTCACCTCTAAGACCTCAAGTCACACTACAGCATTTGATATAATTTGATATACAGTAGGACCTTGGTGAGACTTTGGTGAGTATTTAATAAATAGTATTTTGTCTCTCTCCTGAACTCAGTTGGTCCTTATTGTAGGATAAGAAATAGAAAAGCAGGGGCTGGGAAGGTAGTTCAGCGGTAGAGTGCTTGCCTTGCAAGCTTGAGGCCCTGGGTTCAATTCCTCAGCACCACATAAACAGAAAAAGCCGAAGTGGCGCTGTGGCTCCAGTGGTAGAGCGCTAGCCTTGAGCTGAAGAGCTGAGGGACAGCGCCCAGACCCAGAGTTCAGGCCCCATGACGGGCAAAAAAGAAAAAGAAAAAAGAAAAGTGCTTTGTCATGCTGGCTGAACATCTCAATTTTGTGGTATGTATCATCTCTAACAACTAGTGTTGGTTTTTTTTCTTTTCCATCTGAGGTCATACAATTATTTGTCATTTCTCTCTTGTGGAAGCAGGGATAGTCTTATAAGTTCAGAGCTTTTAAATTTTTTTTTTTTTGGAGTTCTGGAGAATGAACCCTAGGTGTTGCACATGTTGGTACTATACTACTGAGTTACAACCCAAAGCCTATAACTATCCATTACCATACTCTGAACTTTGAGACTGTGATATAGTTTGGTGGTAGAGTGTTTGCCTTGTCTGAGTAAGACACTGGGTTCAATCCCCAGCGTTGTAATAGCCGTGGTAGTAGTAATAGCAATAATATATATATAATTATATATATAAAACATATATTAGTAATATTAATGAAGATGAATATTGTTATGGATAGCCTGAACATTCCTACATAAATTAGAAAAAAAATTACCATCTACTTATATCTACCATGTGCCAAAGTACTGGCTAGATATTTATGTTTGTTTCATTTAAGAACCAAGAATTAGCTGGTGAGACCATGGCTCATGCCTATAATCCTAGCTACTCATTATGCTGAGATCTGAGGATCACTGTTCAAAGCCAGCCAGGGCAGGAAAGTCCATGAGTCTCTCATCTCCAATTAACCACCAGAAAACCAGGAGTGGAGCTGTGGCTCAAGTGGTAGAGTTTTTGCCTTGAGTTAAAGAGCTCAGAGACAGTACCCTGACCCAAAATTCAAGTCCCACAAGCAGGGGTTGGGGGTGAGAATTAATAATCTACCCCATAGAAATAAGTTGAAAGGAAAAAGGAAAAAAAGAAAGCAGAGGTTGGGGATGTAGCTCATGTCTCAAATTAGGCTCTGAATTTGATCCCCAGTCAGGGAAAAAGGAAAGGAGGAAGAAGAAATTACTCTGTAAAAAGTGATTGTGGAATCTCCCTTGAGGACAGTGAAGATTTCAGAATCACTAGGGAGGAAGGACTGAACTATTTTTATACAAATCCCATTGTGTTCACATTTGTTTATAGGAGTATTAAAGGATCCTTTGTGTTTATCTTTGTGGTAGTAAATTTAGGATGTATGCTAGAAATTACTTGAATTGTATTTTAGGAAGATAACTTTGGCAATTGTGTGATGGATGAACATTGATTAGAGAGACCAATTGAGGGAATGTAATGTGACACTGGAAACTGAGAGAGAAGGAAAGAAATACAGGAATACTTCTACAGGCTTTAGGATTAATTAGATTTAGGTTGAGAAGAAAGTATATTTATAATTCCTTGATTTCCAGTGACAGGAAATACTGTAAAGAAGCAGATTTGTGGTTAAATATAATGGTAAATGGAGGCTCAGTGGTAGAGCGCTGCCTACCATGTGAGGTTCTGGGTTTGATCCCTGGCATCTAAAAATAAAAATAAAACAATGATTACTTAATGATTACTTAGATAAGCCACTTAATGCCCAAAGAATTAAATTGTTTAAGACCATTCTTAATGGTTATTTGAAGCTGATTTCATCCTAGGTAGCAGAACCATCAGTTGTACAATATGCAAATATAATACAGTGAATTCTCTGTGATTTGTGCTTCTTGGAGTTGTGCCTCAGCATAGTCTGACCAAGCCAAGTGAATTCACAGTCCACTTTGTGTGTGTGTGTGTGTGTGTGTGTGTGTATGTGTGTTTGTGTATTAATACTGGGGCTTGAATTAAAAAAAGAATGGGTACCATGGTTCATGCTTGTAATCCTAACTACTCAGGAGGCTGAGATTTGAGGAATGCAATTCAAAGCCAGCCCTGGCAGAAAAGTCTTTGAGACTCTTTAGTAAACCACCAGAAATTAGGAAGTGGCACTGTGGTTCAATGGTAGAGCACTAGCCTTCAGCTGAAGAGCGCAGGGACAGTGCCCCGGCCCAGAGCTCAAGCCCCATTACCCACATCCAAAAAAAAAAGAAAAAAGAAAAGAAGGACGATCAATCCCAAAAGATCACAAGGAGTAAGACTGAGTAGAGGTATATAGAAAGAAATTAAGTTTTGGGGCTGGGAAGGTGGCTCAGTGGTAGAGTGCTTGCCTTGCGTGCATGAGGCCCAGGGTTCGATTCCTCAGCACCACATAAGAAAAAAGAAAAAAGCTGGAAGTGGCGCTGTGGCTCAAGTGGTAGAGTGCTAGCCTTGAGCTAAAGAGCTGAAGTACAGCACCCAGGCCCAGAGTTCAGGCCCCATGACCGGACCCAAAAAAAAAAGAAAGAAAGAAATTAAGTTTTGAATAGAAATATCAGGTTTTTGTTTTTGAGACAGAGTCTCACTAGATATCTTAGGCTGGCCCTGGAATTTAGGATTCTCCTGCTTCAGGCTAGTAAGTACTGGGATTATAGCCATACATCACCAACCTTGTCTATCTTGGAAAAACATTTTTTTGCTTTGTCTGTCATGGGGCTTGAAGTCAGGTTCTGGGTGCTGTCTCTGAGCTCTTTTGCTAAAGGTGCTCTACAACTTTGAGCTGTAATTCTACTTCCAGTTTTCTGGTGGTTAACTGGAGATACAAGTCTCATGAACTTTTCTGACTGGTCTGGCTTTGAGCTACAATCCTCAAATCTAAGCCATTAGCGCATGGCTTCCGCTAGAAAAGCATTCTTGAGGATTCCCAAGACTGGCTTAATTTGTTTGGTTCATTAATTTAATATGATTTATTTCTAATTCGAGCTAATATTTTTAAAAGTTGCCCAGAATTCTGTTTCCTGAAAATGTTTTTCCTTGTTAATGATTACTACTCTTGCTGATGAGCTATTGAAAATTGCTATATACAAAACAATAGCCTCCATGAATATAATCCTGACTGCTACCAAGGCATTCCTTTTGCCTTTACATACCTATTTTATTTACACCTTAGGATAGTGACTCAGTTCTCCCTCCACTTTTTTCTCTGAGCAAGGGAGCATCAAACATTACCTCATAGTTTCCTTTGACATTATCTGGCCTTGACTTAAAGCAGTACTTGCCTCTGGCCCTAATTTGCAATTGGAGACAGTTACCTGACTCATTAACAGCTCAAGTCTCTTCTTCACGTCTAACAAGGTATAACAAGTAGGGTAAGTCAATAAATGAGCTTTAGGTAGAAGTCCTAAGACAGTGATTATTTTAATATTAGGAACCCTGCTAATCTAATAGCACACAGTCATAAACTTTTTAAAAAATTAAAATTAAACCTATAAACCATTAAAGCTAAATTGCTTAATGTAATTATATACAAAATAAATCTTGAAAACCAAGCTTTCAGCCAGGCACCACTGATGGCTCATGATTGTAATCATATCTACTCAGGAAGCTGAGATCTGAGGATTGCTGTTCAAAGCCAGCCAGCCAGGAAAATCTGTGAGACTCTTTATCGCCAATTAACTACCAGAAAACCAGAAGTGGTGCTGTAGCTCTAGTGGTAGAGTGCTAACCTTAAGCTGAAGAGCTAAGGGACAGTGCCCAGGCCCAGGGTTCAAGCCCCACCACTGATAAAAAATAATTAAAACTGCCAACGTGTCTTTTTGTTGTTGTTGGTGGTGGTGGTCATGGCTTGAACTGTGATCCTGAGATCTCAGCGTCCTGAGTAGTTAGGATAACAGGCATAAGTCATTGGTGCCCGGCAAATTTTTAATTTTTGTTTTTGCTTTTGGTATTACTGGAGTTTGAACTCAGCGTTGAGCTTGCTAGACAAATGTCCCACCACTTATTTAATCACAACTACAGCAATCTCCCTTCATCCTGCATACTAAGTACACTCTCTACCACTAAGCTGCCTCTGTAGGCCCTGGGGATTTGCACTGGAAAATCTTTTTTTTTGCAAGTCGTGGGGCCTGAACTCTGGGCCTGGGCACTGTCCCTCAGCTCTTCAGCTCAAGGCTAGCACTCTACCACTTGAACCACAGTGCCACTTTTGGCTTTTTCTACTTATGTGGTGCTGAGGAATCGAACCCAGGGCCTCATGTATACAAGGCAAGCACTCTACCACTGAGCCACCTTTCCAGCCCTTGGAGTATCTTTTTAATAATCAAGAGTTGTAAACTGAATTTTTTGCTTCAATTGCAAGAAGGTTTCCAGGTAGGGCTAGCAAGAGTTCCAGAGTTCTCATTAGATACTAATTGGTCATTTAAGGAATAAAATTTTGGTCTGTCCTTGCTCTGATCCCCAGTGATTTTATCGAATGGAGAAGCTATTTGACTTAATAAGGTCTTACTGGAAGCCTAGGCTATGTGAAGTGAATGTTATCAAGCACTGGCTGTTTGATTTTTAGGAGTCTCAAATGATTTTTTTGTACTTCAGGAATGGTCTCAAATATCTTTCTTCCAACTGGACAAGAACACAGCCAGACCAAACAATTTAACTATAGTTGCATTTTAACTAAAAAAAAAAAAAAAAAAAAACCACACAGACAACACCTTTATAGGCAAAGTTTATCTGATGGAGTCCCTAGAAAAAGGAAAGAAGGCTCTTAAAACCCAGCACTCTTAGAGAAGTCACCTTTTTATCCTATTAGGAGCACTAATAATATACCTGGGGTTTTAACCAAAATGCAGGCTGTAATGTAGAGATCTAGCTCCTAAGTCTGCCCTGATTGAGACAGAACTGAAGAAAAAAATATCCCCACTCCCACAGGCTCATGATCAACAACTCCTTTGTCTTGCATAACCACTATCCAGGAACAGAAACCAGTTTCTGGCCTTTAGAGCCCTAGGACTTTGATCCTTGGAACTAAATAAACTGAACACAGCTAATACCAAACACTTTTTGGTAAACCACAGTTTTATATATTTCTCCTCATTTAACAACATTATCATGGACATTATAATACATATCTATCTTTGTTTTGACTATGGATTTTATGATATGGATGCACAATCATTTATTTTGCTAGTTATCCTTTTATGAATACTTTGGTAATTTTCCTCTCTTCTAAAGATTAAACATCTGTGTCACTTACCTATTATTTCCTTAGATTAAATTCCTTAAAATTATTATGTCAGAGCCAAGCCCAGGTGAGTCAAGCCTGTAATCCTAGCTACTCAGGAGGCTGAGATCTGAGGATCACTGATCAAAGCCAGCTCAAGCAAGAAAGTCCATGAAACTATTTATCTCCAAAAAACCACCAGAAAACCAGAAATGGTTCTGTGGCTCAAGTGGTAAAGTGCTGGCCATGAGCTGTAGAGCGGAGCGACAGCATCCAGGCCCAGAGTTCAAGCCCTGTGACCGACAAAATATAAAATAAAATTATTATGTCAGAAGAAAAGTGAGTGTAAATTTTTAATTTTACTGTAATCCTAGCTACTCAGGAGGCTGAGATCTGTGGATTATGGTTCAAAGCCAGCCCCGGCAGGAAAGTCTGTGAGACTCTGATCTCCAGTAAACCACTTGAAAACCAGAAGTGGCGCTGTGGCTCAAGTGGTAGTGTGTGCTCCCCTTGAGCTGAAGAGCTGAGGGACAGTGCCCAAGCCCAGAGTTCAAGCCCCACAACCAACCAAAAAAAATTTTTTTTAAATTTTAGCAGTTACACTTTTATCAATTATATATTTCATTTATTTATGTTGGTTATGGGGCTTACACTAAGGGTCTGGACACTGTCCCTAAACAATTTTTTTTTTGTCAGTCGTGGGGCTTGAACTCTGGGTCCTGGGTGCTGTCCCTCAGCTCTTCAGCTTAAGGCGAGCGCTCTACCACTTGAGCTACAACGCCACTTCCGGTTTTCTGGTGGTTTATTGGAGATAGGAGTCTCACAGTCTTTCCTGCTCGGGCTGGCTTTGAACCGAGATCCTCAGATCTCAGCCTCCTGAGTAGCTAGGATTACAGGCGTAAGCCACCAGCGCTCGGCTCTTATACTTGATTTAAAAAAAAAATCTTTTTGCAGTATGAGGGTTAAAACCAAGGTCTTGTGCATACTATGTAAGCAATCTACTACTGAGCTGAACCTCTAGCCCAGTCTGACAGTAATCTGGTGGTAAAAGTGATTTACATTTCTTTGATTTTTAGTATGTTTGAATAACTTTTTATAGTCACTTTGCTCTTTTGAGAACTGCCTTTTATGATCTTCACTTTTATTTTTTTTGTCTGTTGTGGGGCCTGAACTCTAGGCCTGGACACTGTCCCTCAGCTCTTTAGCTCAAGGCTAGCGCTTTACCACTTTGACCACAGTGCTACTTCCAGCTTTTTCTGCATACATGGTGCTGAGGAATGGAACCCAGGGCCTTATTCGTACAAGGCAAGTACTCTACCACTGAGCTACCTTCTCAGTCCTTCACTTTTTTTTTTTTTAAAAAAAATAATTAAAATTGAGATTAAGCGATTACATAAATTTCACATTTTTTTTTGTCTGTTGTGGGACTTGAACTCTGAGCTTGGGCGCTGTCCCTGTGCTCTTCAGGTCAAGGCAAGTGCTCTACCACTTGAGCCACAGCGCCACTTCCGGTTTTCTAGTTGTTTATTGGAGATAAGAGTCTCACAGACTAAAAAAAAAAAAAAAAAAAAGAGTCTCACAGACTTTCTTTTTTGGGGACTGGTCGTGGGGCCTGAACTCTGGGCTTGGGCGCTGTCCCTCAGCTCTTCAGCTCAAGGCTAGTGCTCTACCATTTCCGGCTTTTTTTTTTTTTTTGCTTATGTGATGCTGGGGAATCGAACCCAGGGCCTCATGCATGCAAGGCAAGCGCTCTACCACTGAGCCATCTTCCCAGCCCAAAATGTTTTTGGTTTTGTTTTTTTGGGGGGAGGTCCAGTTGTGGGGCCTGAACTCTGGGCCTGGGCACTGTCCGTCAGCTCTTCAGCTCAAAGCTAGCGTTCTACCACTTGATCCACAGCGCCACTTGCAGCTTTTTTTCTTTTTGCTTATGTGGTGCTGAGGAATCGAACCCAGAGCCTTAGGCATGCAAGGCAAGCACTCTACCACTGAGCCACCTTCCCAACTCTCACAGACTTTCTTGCCCGAGCTGGCTTTGAACCGTGATCCTCAGATCTCAGCCTCCTGAGTAGCTAGGATTACAGGAGTGAGCCACTGGCCCCTGGTCTGTTCCTGAGCTTCTTTTTGCTCAAGGCTAGCACTCTACTTACTTGAGCCACAACACCACTTCTGGCCTTTTCTGTTTATGTGGTACTAAGAAATTGAAGCCAGGGCTTCATGCATGATAGGCAAGCACTCTACCACTAAGCTACTTTCCCAGCCCCTACGTATCCTTATTAGGATAGGGTGTAACATGTCATACCATGTAGTATGGAGACACTACACATAAAAGAGAGTAGGGAGTAATAGATATGTGTAGCCACCAGACAGGCAAAAGTATTGAGGGAGGGGCTGGGAAGGTGGCTCAGTGGTAGAGTGCTTGCCTTGCATCCATGAGGCCCTGGGTTCGATTCCTCAGCACCACATAAGCAGAAAAAGCCAGAAGTGGCGCTGTGGCTCAGGTGGTAGAGTGCTTGCCTTGAGCTGAAGAGCTGAGGAACAGCGCCCAGACCTAGAGTTCAAGCCCAGGACTGGCAAAAAAAAAAAAGTATTGAGGGACAAGAGGAAAGATGGGGAGACAGGTGTGGGAAAAGATAGTGATATACCTGGACAACCCTTTGTCTTGCATACTCTTATCAAGGAAAGATACCTGTCATCCAAACTGGCAGAAACTATTTCACATCTAAAAAATATGTAATTTAGAGGCTGGGAAGGTGGCTCAGTGGTAGAGTGCTTGCCTCACATGCATGAGGCCCTGGGTTCGATTCCTCGGCACCACATAAGCAGAAAAAGCCAGAAGTGGCACTGTGGCTCAAGTGGTAGAGTGCTAGCTTTGAGCTAAAGAGCTGAGGAACAGCGTCCAGGCCCAGAGTTCAGGCCCTACAACCAACCCCCCCCCCAAAAAAAAAAATCCTTAATTGAATAGCTGTGTGACAAACTGACCAAAAGATGGTATACTTAGGGGAAGAGTTCAAAGATATAACTCCTCCAAACAACTAATGAACAGTTTATCAAAATGAATACCAGGAAGTCAAGTGCCAGTGGCTGACACCTGTAATCTTAGTTACCGAGGAGGCTGAGATCTGAGGATCATGGTTCAAAGCCAGCATAGCTAGGAAAATCTGTGAGACGCTTATCTCCAGTTAGCCACCAAAAAAGCTAGATGTTAAACAACCCAGATGCCCCACTACAGATAAAGGATCTAAAAATTGAGGTACCTATATACAATGAAATTCTTCACAGCCATTAAGGACAAAATAATGGCATTCACAGGGAAATGGATGGAACGAGAACAAATGTTGAGCAAGATAAGGCATGATGAGAGACATACACCATATAACCTCCCTGATATGCACATGTTAGATTCAAAATGCAACAAGATATGACAAAGTAAACAGGACACAAGATACCCATACACAGTAAAACGAAAAGAAGTCAGTCTTGGAAAAATAACACCAAATTGTAATACTCAAGCACCTCTACATATGTGCATTAAATAACATACAGACTGCAAAGAACCCCAAAGACAAGGAAACAAAGGACGTCTTCTTAATTTGTCTTAGCATTTTCAGATGACTCCATATTCTCTACTTCATATATGGTATATACACATGCACGTCTGAGAGGTGCTGGGAGGATGACATACAATCAGTGGAAAATGTGAAAAATTATAGCAGAGGGGTCCATCAACTGCACTGGACATTGATGAAAGTGAACTAAGCAATTCAGGAGTGGTGATGGGAGGGAAGGAATGAGAGAGAGAGAGGAAACAGCTGATACTAAGCAAAAGGAAAGAAAAGTACATAACACTGATTTGGAAGATATAGTCTTATTGTTGAAGTTGTAGATTTCATAAACTTTGCAGATTAAGATGATGATGATTACCACTGGGAAGTTTATTTATTTATTTATTTTATTTTTGTCGGTCGTGGGGCCTGAACTCTGGGCCGGGCACTGTCCCTCAGCTCTTCAGCTGTAGACTAGCACTCAACCACTTGAGCCTCAGCCCCACTTCCGGCTTTTTCTGCTTATGTGGTGCTGAGGAATCGAACACAGGGCCTCATGCATGCAAGGCAAGCACTCTACCACTGAGCCATCTTCCCAGCCCCACCACTGGGAAGTTTAAAATGTGTTTGTGGTCTTAGCTCAGTATAACTGTGCCACAGTATTGTGAAACAGATGTAGTTACTTAAACTCAATAAAGAAATATTTGGAGAGAGAGAGAAAAAAAACAAAGCTAAAAGTGGAGCTGTTGCTCAAGTGGTAGAGTTTTCTCCTTGAGAAAAATAGCTCAGGGACAGCTCCCCAGGCCCTGAGTTCAAGCCCCAGGACAGGCACCAACCTCTCCCCTTTACCCCCTCCCCCCAAAAAAAAACAAAAACAGGAAGTACAAGTATGTTTTGAGGGGAAGGGCAAAAGGGGGCATATGGAGGGAGGAAGGATGAACAAATGCAATCATTATATTCACTGTACATTATGTAAAATATTGAGCTACAGAATTGAGGGTAAGGATAGGAGAGGGAAAATTAGGGGAGAACATGGAGGGGTGACATTGATCAACATGCATTGTACTACAACCTGACTATGGAAGTCTGACCTCTTTGTACAGCTAAACTTAACAATAAAATTAAGAAATACAGGGGGCTGGGAAGGTGGCTCAGTGGTAGAGTGCTTGCCTTGCAAGCCTGAGGTCCTGGGTTCGATTCCTCAGCACCACATAAACAGAAAAAGCTGGAAGTAGCGCTGTGGTTCAAGTGGTAGAGCGCTCACCTTGAGCTGAAGAGCTGAGGGACAGAGCTTAGGCCTAGAGTTCAGGTCCACAACCGGCAAAAAAAAAAAAAAATTAAGAAATACAGGTGCATGACTTTTGCAAATTATACACAGCTTCTTGTTGTTGTTGTGGGGAGTGAACTCTGGGCTTGGGCGCTGTCCCTGTGCTCTTGAGCGCTCTACCACTTGAGCCACAGTGCCACTTCTGGTTTTCTAGTGGTTTATTGGAGATAAAAGCCTCATGGACTTTCCTGCCCAGGCTGGCTTTGAACTGTGATCCTCAGATCTCAGCATCCAGAGTAGCTAGGATTACAGGCATGAGCCACCTGCACCAGGCTATACCCAGCTTTAATTTTGCTGAATCCAAAGACTTCTGGGGGGCTGGGAAGGTGGCTGAGTGGTAGAGCGCTTGCCTCACATACCTGAGGCCCTGCGTTTGATTCCTCAGCACCACATAAGCAAAAAGAAAAAAGCCGGAAGTGGCGCTGTGGCTCAAGTGGTAGAGCGCTAGCCTTGAGCTGAAGAGCTGAGGGACAGCGCCCAGGCCCAGAGTTCAGGCCCCATGACCGGACCCCCCCAAATAAAAGACTTCTGGGGTGCTAGTAAGTGCTGTAGCTTTGTTTGGGTTGTGGTTACATTGTAAAAACATGAAACCAAACCATAGAGTTGTACTCATTTAAGATTAGTACAATATGCTAAATTATAATATACAAAATAAAAAGCAGCACAGCACTACAGGTCTGGAGAATTGCTTGAGGGCAGAAATTCAAGGCCAATCTGGCCAATATTTGATCTCATTTTTTGGGGGTGGGTTGGATAGCAGGGGTCAGTCATGGGGCTTGAACTCAGGGCCTGGGCCATCCAGTCCCTGAGTTTTTTTCACTCAAATCTAGTACTCTATCACTTTGAGCCACTTTCGCTTTTCTGGTGGTTAATTGGAGGTAAGTGTCTCATAGACTTTCCTGCTCAGGCTGGTTTTTGAACAGTTACCCTCAGATCTCTAGCTAGGACTATAGGCATGAGCCACCTTGCCAGGCTTATCAGAGGATCTTGTCAAGAATGAATGGCTGAGGGGCTAGAAAGGTGGCTCAGGTAGAGGGCTTACCTTGCATGCCTGAGGCCCTGGATTCGATTCCTCAGCACCACATAAGAAAAAAGCCAGAAGTGGCACTGTGGCTCAAGTGGTAGAGTGCTAGCCTTGAGCTGAAGAGCTGAGGGACAGCGCCCTGGCCCAGAGTTCAGGCCCCACGACCAGACCCCCCCCCAAAAAATGAATAGCTGAATCAATGAATATTCTAGAATTGTGATGATTCAGTAGAATTGTATTTACTAAATCCTTAGTGCTCTGCCTTGCACATACATATTGAGAGATTTGAAACTTTAAAGTGTCAAGAGTGGTCAGCCTTTGTGCTGTGGCTATTCGTTAAACCTCAATTTGTCTGAACTAACCGGGTCCATCGAAGTTGACCTCAGGGAATCCAAGCAATCCCCCATAGAGGGTTAACCAGACTCTCCTTGGCAGGAGCTGGGCCTAACTTCCGGGGCCTGGTGCATACTGTGAGCAGTGGTAGGCGCGGGTTGCCGCTGCCCAGGGCGGTCCACGTGGCCCCAGGCGGCTGCAAGTCCTAGCTCCCCAAACGCTCTGGGTGGAGCAAGAGTCCGAGGTTCTTGCCCTGGCGACTCCCCAGCATCTCCATGGAGAAGAGGGAAACTGCAGCAGGGCTCCACCCAGGAAAGGCGCGAGCAGGGGGAGGAGAAAGGGCGGGCCCATTCAGTACGTCCACCCTGCGCCTGATCCCGAGCCTGGCTCTGCCCCTCCTTCCGGGTGGAGCTTCCTCTTCACCGCCAGACTTAAGCCGAGGGCCTTCCACTCACTATCTCCCAGCTCATTTTAGGCCGAACGGAGCAGTCCACACTGTGCAAGCGCCAAGGTGAGTTCTTTCTGCTGCAGGCCCTTGGTTTTTCTAGGGCAGGTAGTCTGGACCCTGCAATACCGCGGGTCTACCACTCGGATGGAGAAGAGTGTGTGGTCACTGGGCACCGTGAGACTTGGTGTCGGGTTTAAGCTCTTCCTCCTATTCTCTGTGATTTTGAATAACTTCTTTTTTTATTTTGCTGGTCGCGGGCCTGAACTCTGGGCCTGAGCACTGTCCCTCAGCTCTTCAGCTCAAGACTACCATTTGAGTCACAGCGCCACTTCTGGCTTTTTCTGCTTATGTGGTGCTGAGGAATCCAACTCAGGACATCATGTATGCAAGGCAAATACTCTACCACTGAGCCACCTTCCCAGCCCTGAATATTATTATCTGTGAACCTGTTATCTCTGCTGTACTAAGAGCAGGAATTGAGATAAACCTGTGGGAACGCCCAGCACGTATTAGATGCTTTGTAAATTTGAGTTGCCACTTTTTTTTGTCGTTTACTCATCTAGATTGCTCTGTGTTGTGTGTTTGTCGGTGTGTCTGCCTGCCTACTTTCCTCTGGAAGTCCAGGGTTGATTCTCAGAAGTGATGGTGAATTTGCTTACTTTAAAAGTTATTGCCTTGGGAAGTCAAGACAAGTTATTCTTATTGTTCTGAAGCTCTGTTAAAATGAGAGTCTGACTCTGATTTGAACCTTTTTTGGGGGGCGGGGCGGGTTGTGGGGCCTGAATTCTGAGCCTGGGCGCTGTACCTGAGCTCTTCAGCTTAAGGCTAGCTCTCTACCACTTGAGCCACAGGGCCACTTCCGTTTTTTTTCTGATTTAAACCTTTACAGGATGGGACTGCTATAACTTTTGTTTAGATTATCTATACTAACAGCTGCAAGGTCTCCCTAGATCAGGCTTGATGATCAGGTCTGTTACTTTTTTTTTCTTCTTTCCCTCAGTACTGGAATTTGAAGCTAGGGTCTAATGAATGCTAGGCTATGCTTGAACCACACTCCCAGTACTTTTGTTTTTATTTTTATTTTTAAGATTGGATCTTGTGGGCTGGGAAGGTGGCTCAGTGGTAGAGCGCTTGCCTTGCATGCCTGAGGCCCTGGGTTCGATTCCTCAGCACCACATAAGCAAAAAGAAAAAAGCCGGAAGTGGCGCTATGGCTCAAGTGGTAGAGCGCTAGCCTTGAGCTGAAGAGTTGAGGGACAGCGCCCAGGCCCAGAGTTCAGGCCCCATGACCGGACCCAAAAAAAAAAAAAAAAAGATTGGATCTTGTTAACTTCTTGGGAGCTGGATTTGAACTATGATTCTCTTTATTCAGTCTCTCCAGTAGCTGGGGCCACTGTACCTTGCTTTTCAGGACTGTTACTTTTACAATCCCATTATGATCCTACTTGATCCTGTGGAATTTTTTGCCAAAGACAGGAAAATGCAAGGTTTCAAGTATTGAGTTCTGTTTCAAGTATTGGTCTGTTCCTCAGAACCAAAAGGGGAAAAAAGGGATAATGAAATGCTTTGATATACTCTGGAGATGATTCTTTGCAAGAATCATCTTTGCCTTTTGAAGCAAAGGCAGAAGTTGGTAGAGACAGCAACTTCCTTTAAATGCCTCTCCAGCTGACCAAACTTCCTCCAATGTCAAGATATCTTCCATTAGGAACTTGTGCAGTGCGCACACATGTTCTTGTATGAATGGTTCAAGCAGATGACTGACTTGAGGGGGGGGAATTTTCAGGAAGTTTTTTTTTTTTTTTTGGTCTGGTCGTGGGGCCTGAACTCTGGGCCTGGGCACTGTCCCTCAGCCCTTCAGCTCAAGGCTAGTGCTCTACCACTTGAGCCACAGCGCCACTTCCAGCTTTTTTGTTTTGCTTATGTGGTGCTGAGGAATCGAACCCAGGGCCCAGGGCCTCAGGCATGCAAGGCAAGCACTCTACCATTGAGCCACCTTCCCAGCCCTTTCAGGAAGTTTTTTGAGCAGGAAACTTCTAAACAAAAATGTAAATCAATGTGCCCAAGTTATCAGTACATGCATAAAAATGCAATGATATACAAAAAAAATTCTAGTTCCTTCTGTTAAAGGATGAGTAGCAGTTAGACAGGGTGAGGTTTAGAGAAAGAATGTGCAAAGGTCACTGGAGTCTAGTAGTGCTTGTTCTGCAGACTAAAAATGAGAAAGTAGAGAAGTGTGGAGGGAAGGAGCCAGGTTTTGATGGAATCTGGACTTTATCCTAAGTGTAAGAATTGCTGAGGAGTTGAACTTGGGAGTCACATGGTTGGATTTAGTGAACAGATTTTGGACAAGGGGGACACTGCAAGCAGAGAGGTACCTGATTTAGATAAGAGATGTAGATGATTGGGCTAAGGCAGTGGCTGTGAGGTGTAGGAACTGGAGAAAGATTGAGAAAATTTGTAGTTGTAGAGGTTTTTGTGTCATGGATTTTGTTGATTGTGCTGGCTTTGAACCAAGATCCTCAGATCTCAGTGTCCTAGATAGCTAGGATTACAGGCATGAGCCACCAGCACCCAGCTCTTTCTTTCTTTCTTTTTTTTCTTTACTTTTTTTTTCTTTTTTCTTTTTCTTTTTTGGTCGGTCATAGGTCTTGAACTTTGGGCCTGGGCACTGTCCCTCAACTCTTTAGCTCAAGGCAAGCACTCTATCACTTGAGCCACAGTGCCACTTCTGGTTTTCTGGTGGTTTATTGGAGATAAGAGTCTCACAGACTTTCCTGCCCAGGCTGGCTTTGAACTGAGATCCTCAGATCTCAGCCTTCTGAGTAGCTAGGATTACAGGCATGAGCGATTGGCTCCTGGCTTTTTCTACTTTTCTTTTCTTTCTCCTTTTTTCCCTGCCTGCCTCCCAGCCTCCTTTCCTTTCCTTTTTTTCTTTCCCTTCCCTCCCTCCCTCCTTCCCTCCTTCCCTCCTTCCCTCCTTCCCTCCCTCCCTCCCTCCCTTCCTTCCTTCCTTCCTTCCTGCTTTCCTGCCTTCCTGCCTGCCTTCCTTCCTTCCTTCCTTCCTTTCTCTCTCTCTCTGTCTCTCTTTCTTTTCTGTAGGGCTTGAACTCAGGGCCTGGATGCTGTCCCTTAGCTCTTCTGCCCAAGGCTAGTACTCTCACTTTGAGCCATAGCACCACTTTCAGTTTTCTGATGGTTATTGGAGTTAAGAGTCTCATGGACTTTCCTGCCCAGGCTAGGCTGGCTTTGAACCATGATCCTCAGATCTCAGCCTCCTGAATAGGTAGGATTATAGGCATGAGACACCAGCACCCAGTTCTTTTTCTCTCTTTCTCTCTTTCTCTTTCTCTCCCCTCCTTCTGTCTCTCTCCCTCTCCCCTTCTCTCCTCTCCCTTCCTTTCTTTCAAGATAGAGTTCAGTTATATAGTGCAGTATAGCCCAGGTTGATCTCAAATTTATGATCCCCCTACCTTTTTTTCCGAGTATTGGGATTATAGCTATGTGCCCACATTCTTGGCTTTTTTTTAAAATCTTTTAAATAGACTTGTAAGATAATCTAGATTTATAAATGACATTTAGAAATTACGGTGAGATGGGTGCCAGTAGCTCATGACTGTAATCCTAGCTACTCAGGAGGCTGAGATCTGAGGATCATGGTTCAAAGCCAGCCCAAACAGGAGAGAGGCCAGCCCAGGCAGGAAAGTCTGTGAGACTCTTATCTCCAATAAACCACCAGAAAACTGGAAGTGGCACTGTGGCTCAAATGATAGAGCTCTTGCCTTGAGCTGAAGAGCTCAGGGACAGTGCCCAGGCTCAGAGTTCAAGCCCCAAGAGCAACCGGAAAAAAAAATTACAGTGAATTCCTTTATACTTTTTACTCAGTTTCTGCCAGTGGTAGCTTTTTTGTGGATGATGCTAAAGATCAAGGCCAAAGCTTTATGAATGCTAGGTAGGTATTCTACCTCTGAGCTATATCACCAGACCCCTTATATGATTTTATTTGTTTTTTGTTTTTTTTTGGGTCCGGTAGTGGGGCCTAAACTCTGGGCCTGGGCGTTGTCCCTCAGCTCTTCAGCTCAAGGCTAGCGCTCTACCACTTGAGCCATAGCGCCACTTCCGGCTTTTTTCTTTTTGCTTATGTGGTGCTGAGAATCGAACCCAGGGCCTCAGAAATGCAAGGCAAGTACTCTACCACTGAGCCACCTTCCCAGCCCCCCTTAGATGATTTTCTGGGTGCTGGTGGCTCACGCCTGTAATCCTAGCTTCAGGAGGCTGAAATCTGAGGATCATGCTTCAAATCCAGCCCTGGCAGGAAAATCATAAGACACTGGTCCCTCAGCTCTTCAGCTCAAGGCCAGCACTCTACCTCTTGAGCCACAGAGCCACTTCTGGCTTGCTTAGTGGTTTATTGGAGATAAGTCTCATGGGCTTTTCTGTCCAGGCTGGCTTTGAACCACAATCCTCAGATCTCAGCCTCCTGAGTAGCTTGGATTACAGGCATGAGCCCCTGGCAGCCAGCTCTATAAGACTCTTATCTCCAATTAATCACCAGAAAACCAGAAGTGGCATTGTGGCTCAAGTGGTAGAGCCCTCACCTTGAGGAGCTAAGGGACAGCACTCAGGCCCAGAGTTCAAGTCCCATGACTGACAAAAAAAAAAAATCTATAAACATGCTGGTGGAGAGGCCCAGAGGGAGCCGAACATATAGAACGGATGTGGAAGAATCAGAGTATAGTAGTAACTGAAAATACAAACTTGACTAAGGAGAGTAAGGAAGTTTAGAGACAATACCCAAAAGGACACCAGTGTTGTGGTAGCTATAGGAAAGGCCTTAGCAGCCAGGAAACATTCATGTAAATAAATATTGCTTCCTTTTTGTTCTGTGATTTTAAGTTCTCTGCATCTATACAGAAACTACGGACACCTCTTCCGAAAAGGGAAGACTGAACCCCAGAGAGAAGGAACCCAGGTGCTGAGCTGGGAAATCATAAAACTTGAGTCCTGAAACTCCCCTCTTCCGCCTTCCTCTCCCATACCCAGTCCATTTCTCTCTTTTTTTTTTTTTTTTGGTCTGGTCGTGGGGCCTGAACTCTGGGCCTGGGCGCTGTCCCTCAGCTCTTCAGCTCAAGGCTAGTGCTCTACCACTTGAGCCACAGGGCCACTTCCAGCTTTTTTTTTTTTTTTCTGCTTATGTGGTGCTGAGGAATCGAACCCAGGGCCTCATGCATGCAAGGCAAGCGCTCTACCACTGAGCCACCTTCCCAGCCCTCCATTTCTCTTTTATACCTCAGAATAATATGGGAGGTGCCGGGCGCCAGTGGCTCATGCCTGTAATCCAAGCTACTGAGGAAGCTGAGATCTGAGGCTTATAGTTCAAAGCCAGCCCAGGCAAAAAAGTCCGTGAGACTCTTTATCTCCAATAAACCACTTGAAAACGGGAAGTGGAACTGTGGCTCAAGCGGTAGAGCACTGGCCTTGAGCTGAAGAGCACAGGTATAGTGCCCAAGCCCAGAGTTCAAGCCCCACGACCGACAAAAAAAAAAAAGAATAATATGGGTGTTTGTGTGCTGCCAGAGGTCCACCTTTGTACATTCTGACTACTAGGTCCAATCTTGGAGGCTTTAGTGTAGGCTGCTAGCTTAGGATCAGAACATCTTAAAAACTGGTTCAGGATGGCTTTCTATCCTAGAGTAAAACATCTAGTTTTTCTGCTATAACCCCTTCATCCCTGCATTGGAAATTCTTGATTTTTACAGATCTCCCTTAGACCTTCAGACTTCTTGGATACCCACCTCTTAAACTCCAGCCCTTTTGGTTTTCAGTTTCACCTGCAAAAGAAAAGAAAGGGGAAGCAAGATTCAAGTTTCTTCCTTTTTTTTTCCCCAGAGGCCAGGCTTTTGTTGAAACTCCAACCTCAGCTGTAATTTCAGAGCCCCTATGTGTGCTGGGATATCTAGGAGAGGCTAACAGGTTTGTTTACACATTAAGCTTAAGAATGCAGTCAGACCCTGGTGGCAACTAGCCACCAGGTTCCTCCTATGAAGCCCAGATACTCTTGTTTGATCTCTGGGAAGTTTGTATTCCTGGTCAGTTTGGTTACAAAGACTATTGCAGTTTATACTTTGCTTCCCAGACTGAAGTTTACTTACTTATAGTTTTAGCAGAAACCTACTCAGGTTATACTACAATAGAAAATTCTTTCTGAATCAGAAGTATTAGGAAAGACAATATTTTTGTATTAGTTTACCTTCAGCTTGTATAATTACCAGCTCTACCATATGTTTTTCAAAACTTGGAAACAAAGGTCATACTTAACAAAGGCACTGCCAGCAATGAAATCAATCCTAGGGGAGTGATATTTATGGTACTGATAAGAGGGAGGGAAAAGGTTATTTCTATTTCATTGTGTTTTGGGGTGAACATTAACTCCTTTTTCTCTTGAATGACTCCTGTTGATTCGTTGATTTTTTTTTGAACATTATTGTTATTATTAAAGTGTTATATACAGATGGATTACCATTTCATTAGTCAGGTAATGAGTACCATTCCCTTTTTTTTTGCTAGCCCTGGGGCTTGAACTTATGGTCTGGGCACTGGCCCTCAGCTTCCTTTGCTCAAAGCTAGCACTCTATGACTTGAGCCACAGTTCTACTTTTGGCTTTTTCTGTTTGTGTTTTGCTGAGGAAAAGTCAAACCCACGGCTTCATGTATGCTAGACAAGCACACTACCACTAAGACACTTTCCCAGCCCCTTTATACTCTTTTTTTTTTTTTTTTGGGGGGGGGGTCCGGTTGTGGGGCCTGAACTCTGGGCCTGGGCGCTATATCTCAGCTCTTCAGCTCAAGGCTAGCGCTCTACCACTAGAGCCACAGCACCACTTCCTGCTTTTTTTTTTTCTGCTTATGTGGTGCTGAGGAATCGAACCCAGGGCCTCATGCATGCAGGGCAAGAGCTCTACCACCGAGCTACCTTCCCAGCCCCCTTAATACTCTTTAATCAATCAAAAATACAAAAGTAGGGCTGGGAAGGTGGCTTAGTGGTAGAGTACTTGCCTAGCATGCATGAAGCGCCCTGGGTTTGATTACTCATCCTCAGCACCACACAAACAGAAAAAGTCAGAAGTGGCACTGTGGCTCAAGTGGTAGAGTGCTAGTCTTGAGCAAAAGAAGCTCAGGGACAGTACTCAGGCTCTGAGTTCAAGCCCTAAGACTGGCAAAAAATAAAAAGAGGACTGGGAAGCAGGCTCAGTGGCAGAGTGCTTGCCTTGCCTGCACTGGGTTCAATTCCTCAGCACCACATACGCAGAAAAAGCAGGAAGTGGTGCTGTGGCTCAAGTGGTAGAGCGCTAGCCTTGAGCTGAAGGGCGCCCAGGCCCAGAGTTCAGGCCCACGACTGATGGGGAAAAAAGAAAAAGTATCATGGATGGGTTCCAGTGGCTCACACCTGTAACTCTAGGAGGCTAAGTAAGATATGAAGATCTAGGTTTAAGCCATGCCAAGCAGACAATCTTTCTTTCTTTCTTTTTCTTTCTTTTGGCTTGAACTCTGAGCCTAGATACCATCCCTGAGCTCCTTTTTTAAAAAAAATTTTATTTATTTTTTTTGTCGGTTGTTGGGGCTGAACTCTGGGCCTGGAGGCTGTCCCTCAGCTCTTCAGCTCAAGGCTAGAGCCCTACCACTTGAGCCACAGTGCCACTTCCGGCTTTTTCTGCTTATGTGGTGCTGAGGAATCGAACGCAGGGCCTCATGCATGTGGGGCAAGCACTCTACACTGAGCCAACTTCCCAGCCCACCTGAGCTCCTTTTGCTCAAGGCTAGTGCTTTACCACTTGAGCCACAGCACCACTTCTGGCTTTTTCTGTGATTAATTGGAGATTTAAGAGTCTCATGGACTTTCCTACTCTGGCTGACTTCTAATGGCAATCCTTAGATCTCAGCCTTCTCAATAGCTAGGATTACAGGCATGAGCCACTGGCTCCCAGCCTGACAGATTCCCAACTAAACAGCAAAAAGTTGGAAATGGAGACCTAGGTAGCCCAAGTGGTAGAGAGCTAGCCTTGAGTGAAAAGCCAAGCAAGAGCATAAAGCCCTAAATACAAATATTAGTACCAGCAAAAAGGAAAAGGTAAAGGTGTGGGGGGGGGGGGGAATCAATGGCTTATTTCCTTGTAGGAGCTCACTTGGCTAACCTGTCAGCTTGGGTGATCTGAACTGAGTGGGAGGGACTCACACTTTGTAGTACTAGTAACCTCCTGGAAATAGCATTTCATCTTCATAGCCTTTTGCTATGCCTATTTTGTTGCCTTGGTTTCTGACTCATAATGGCCTTTACCTGTTTTATGCTGATTTGAGAGCTTATTTAGTCAAGGGTGGTGTTTCTGAAGACCATCCCACCTTTGCTTTAGATATTAGAGGTTTTTTTGTTTTTTTGTTTTTTTTTTTTTTGGGGGGGGCAGTTGTGGGGTTTGAACTCTGGGCCTGGAATGCTGTCTCTCAGCTCTTCAGCTCAAGGAGAGTGGTCTACTGCTTGAGCTACAGCGCCACTTCTGGTTTTCTAGTGGTTTATTGGAGATAGGAATCTCACGGTCTTTCCTGCCTGGGATGGCTTTGAACTGAGATCCTCAGATCTCAGCCTCCTGAGTAGCTAGGATTACAGGTGTGAGCCACCGGCGCCTGGCTTGTTTTGTTTTTTAAGATAACATCTTAATATGCAGCTCAGGTTAGCAGCTCAGGTTAGCCTTATGCTCATGATTCTCCAGTGTCTGTCTCCTGAGTGCTGGGATCACACTACTTGAAGCTTTTGTTTGTTTTTTTTGTTTTTGATTTTTTTGGTTGGTTGTGGGGCTTGAACTCTGGGCCTGAGCGCTGTCCCTCAGCTCTTCAGCTCAAGGCGAGCACTCTACCGTTTGAGCTACAGCGCCACTTCTGTTTTTTTAGTGGTTTATTGGAGATAAGAGTCTCACAGACTTTCCTGTACAGGCTAGCTTTGAACCATGATCCTCAGATCTAAGCCTGAGTAGCTAGGATTACAGGCATGAGCCACTGGTGCTGGCTGCTTTTTTATTGGGAGGGAGGGGGTGGTACTAGGGATTGAAGCCAGGGTCTTGTGCATTCTAGGTAAGCACTCTATCACTGAGCAACAGTCTTAGCCTCGGATACTGGAGCTCTTTAACATAGACATTAAGCCGGGTTTAAAGACAGCTAGATTGGTGATGAGGTTAGTGTTTGTCTAGGAACTACTGGGTTCAATTGGTTTGTGGTAGCTAGTCTTTACTGCTGCGGATCATAGGCCCATAAATAAGTATACATTTATTCCCTGTATTTGCCCCTCCACTCGCTTCCTGAGCCATGTTCTCTTGGGTTCTTGACCATTGTATCAGTGAGGCCCAAACAATAACTATCTTTTTTCTATGTATGTTTCAGGTGATATGTCAGCTTCCTGTGTCCTCCTGCACACTGGGCAGAAGATGCCCTTGATTGGTCTAGGCACCTGGAAGAGTGAGCCTGGCCAGGTAAGGGATGAAGAACGAGGAAGGCAACTTCTTGACCCTCTGCCAGGGAAAAAGAGGGATTTGGGAGAGGAGCCCTGCAGTTTTCCTAGCACCCTATACTCTACTTTTTTTGTATGAGGATGAGCTTGGAGTGTGGAAAGGAGAGGAGGGACAACAATAAGCCCTTGACTTCTCCAGCTGACTCAGGAGGGACTGAGAGACCCAAGAGGGACAAGGGGATGGGAAGATATTTTTTGCTAACTGCATTTGCTTTGAGTGCTGTGGTACACATGGAACCTCTGCCCAAGCCTGTGCTGTAAGTCTTTTTTTTTTTTTGGCGGTCCGGTCATGGGCCCTGAACTCTGGGCCTGGGCGCTGTCCCTCAGCTCTTCAGCTCAAGGCTAGCGCTCTACCACTTGAGCCACAGTGCCACTTTCGGCTTTTTTCTTTTTTGCTTATGTGGTGCTGAGAAATCGAACCCAAGCCTCATGCATGCAAGGCAAGCGCTCTACCACTGAGCCACCTTCCCAGCTGCTGTAAGTCTTAATATGGTGCTTACACTATAATCTTACCTACTCTTCTCCCACATTGGGTTCCTTGAGCACTGGGACCTCTCCTGAGTGTACAGTCTTTGACATCATAGATGTCAAGGTTTGAAGAACTACTGGCTCAACTGTGTAGACCAAGAATCAGCAAACTTTCTTTTTTGGGAGACAGTACTGGGGTTTGAATTCAAGTCCTTGTGATTACTAGTAGGTACTTTAGTGCTGAAGTACGCCTTCAATCCCCAGTAAACTTTTAATAAACTAGGTTAATCTTTTCAATTTTGCTTAATGAGATTCAAAAATGGGAGTGATGATGGATTTTTGCTTGTTTTTGTTTTTGAGACATGGTCTTATATAGCCCAGGCTAGGCTTCAAACTCATGATTTTTCTATCTCAGCTTCCCAAGTGCACTCCAAAGCCTAGGTCCTGGCAACTTATGCCTGTAATTATAATTGGGCTGAAAATAGGAGGATTGTGGCATGAGGCCAATCCAGGAAAAATTTTCAAGACCCCTTCTCAACCCACAGCTGGGTGCAGTGGCATATACTTGTCATCCCAAGGGACATAGGAGGCTGAGGTTCAAGGATTGCAATACTAGCCTAATAGAGGAAGAAGTCCACTAGACTCTCTCCTTGGAAAGGTTAATGCAGTGATATGTATCATTCCATGACCTTGAGAAGCCTATATATAACAGGCAGCTGTGGCTCCGGTATGCTGGAGGAAAGCTAGACTCTATCAATGGAAAAACAGAAAAAACAACTAGAGGCATGGTTAAGTGATATTGTGCCAGTGTAGCAAGCTCTTGAGTTCAAACTCTAATACCATCACCCACAAAAAAAGTGTTGACAGCCACCGATGGCTCATGACTAGTAATCCTAGCTACTCAGGAGGCTGAGATCTGAGGATCACGGTTCAAAGCCAGCTCGGGCAGGAAAGTCTGTGAGACTCTTCTCTCCAATTAACCACCAGAAAACCGAAAGTTGCGCTGTGGCTCAAGTAACAGAGCTCTAGCCTTGAGCTAAAGAACTGAGAGACAGTACCCAGGCTCAGAGTTCAAACCCCATGACTGACCAAAAAAAAAAGAATGTGTGTGTATACACATAAATTTGAAATCTGCTCTTAGCTTCAGAGCTGTTGGAGAATAAAAATTCATAGTTTACCAATCCCTTGTGTAGAACCAGCCAAAGGAAATCTGGGAATGGAGTTTGGGAATCAGACCAGTAATCCTAGCAGTTCATGAGGCTGAGATCTTAAGGATCACAGAAGCCAGCCCAAGCAGGAAAGTCTGTGAGACTCCAAATAACCACCAGAAAATTTCCAATTAACTACCAGAAAACTGGAAGTGGAGCTGTGGCTCAAAGTGGTAGAGCACACTAGCTTTGAGGAAAAAGGTCTAGACCCTGAGTTCAATCCCCACAATCTACCAAAAAAAAAAAAAAGAAGAAGAGCCGGGCACCAGTGGCTCATGTCTGTAATCCTAGGTACTCAGGAGGCTGAGATCTGAGGATCAAGGTTCAAAGCCAGTCTAGGTAGGAAAGCCTGTGAGACTCTTATCTCCAATAAACTACTAGAAAACTGGAAGTGGCGCTGTGGCTCAAGCAGTAGAGCACTCGCCTTGAGCTGAAGAACTGAGGAACAGTGCCCAAGCCCAGAGTCAAGCCCCAGGACCAACAAAAGAAGAAGAAGGAGGAGGAGGAGGAAGAAGAAGGAAGAGGAGGAAAAAGAAGAAGAAATGAAGCCAGATGCTGGTAGGAAGAAGAGGAGGAGGAGGAAGAGGAGGAGGAAGAAATGAAGCCACTGCTGGTAGCTCAAAACCTAGCTAAGCTATAAGGATTGCAGTTCAAAGCCAACCTGGGCAGGAAAGTCCAATTAATCGCCATAAAACCAGAAGTGGCCCTGTGGCTCAAAGTTTTAGAACACTAGCCTAAGCAAAAGAGCTCAGGGACAGTGCTCAGTGAGTTCAAGCCCCATGACAAACCAAGAAAGGGAAGGGAAGGGAAAGGGGAAGGAAGAAGGAAAGGGAGAAGGGAAAGGAAGGAAAAGGCAAGGCTCAGGATGTTGGGGAATTGTGTAGGAATAAGGACACCAACTGCAAGGTAAAGTTTTACTTCTGCATAAGGGTATACCATCAACCAGAAATCTGCTAAGTAAGCACAGAGCATGCAGGCCATTCCCTTTTTATCACTAACCCAGCAGGTCCTGCTCCTGTGCTCTCACTGGCTGAGCTCAGGTTCACAATCTACAAAAAGGTATGGCTTAATAACAGGATGCAACAGAGATTCTAGGATCTTCTAATAGGATGTCTTAATTAAAGTATAACAGAAGGCTGGGAAGGTGGCTCAGTGGTAGAGTGCTTGCCTTGCATGCATGAGGCCCTGGGTTCAATTCCTCAGTACCACATAAGCCGAAAAAGCCAGAAGTGGTACTGTGGCTCAAGTGGTAGAGTGTTAGCCTTGAACTGAAGAGCTGAGGGACAGCGCCCAGGCCCAGAGCTCAGGCCCCATGACTGGCAAAATAAGTAAATAAATAAGTAAAGTATAACAGAAAAAGCATGTAACTAAAATGTAATCAAGCTCCAACACTTTGCCTTGCCAAAGCAGGAATTTTTCAGAAAATTTTCACAAGATTGACAGAAAGGAACCAATCTACTTTGATAGAAAAGATGCTTTCCTCACATCTCACCTATTTTTCATCTATCTTTTTTTTTTTTTTTTTTTTAATGCCAGTTCTGGGGCTTGAACTCAAGGTCTGGGCTCTGTCCCTGAGTTTTTTGCTCAAGGCTAGCACTTTACCATTTGAGCTCCACTTCTGGCTTTTTGGTGGTTTATTTAAGAGTTTCAACAACTATCCTGACTGGGCTGGCTTCAAACCATGATCCACAGTTTTCAGTCTCCTAAGTAGCTAGGATTATAGGTGTGAGCCACTAGCACCTGGCTTCCATGTATCTTCTGATTGAAAAAACAAAACAACAACAAAACCTGGGCTAGAAAGGTAGCTCAGTAGTAGCTTGCAGGCCAAGCCTCGGTTTGATACCCAGGAACATACAGACATACATATACACACACTTACTCAAGTCTTTATGCTAGATGCTAGGAACTTGTTACTAGTTTGTGGCTGAGCTTGTTGAGATATATTAGTAGGAAGGAATCTTGGAGACTGGTTAGATCGTGCAGGATAATAGGTTTGGTGCTTCCAGTTGTCACCTGGACCTCAAGCCTAGAATCATCTTTCATCTCGCCCCCATATTGCATAAATGGCCCTGATTCCCAACAGTGTCCCTTGATGTGGGATGTGGGCCAGACCAACAGAGCTGACAATAATGTTCTCTCACTTGGCAGGTAAAAGCAGCCATTAACTATGCCTTAAGTGTAGGCTACCGCCACATTGACTGTGCTACTGTCTACGGCAATGAGAGTGAGATTGGGGAGGCCCTGAAGGAGACTGTGGGACCAGGCAAGGTAAGTATTGGGGATACAGAGAGGATAGGGTACAAGAACTCAGAGGCTTAAGCTGGGGCTGGGGCTTACTGAGTGTATCTGGCATCAGCATCTTTCTAGTTCCTTTCCCAGAGGTGAGGGTGGGTGACACTGGGTACTCAAGGTTCTTTTCATGATGATTCTTCCCTTGTACTAGCCAGTCTCTCGGGAGGAGCTGTTTGTGACATCTAAGCTGTGGAACACCAAGCACCACCCTGAGGATGTGGAGGGTGCCCTTCGGAAGACACTGGCTGACCTCCAGCTGGAGTATCTGGACCTGTATCTGATTCACTGGCCTTATGCCTTTGAGTGAGCCTTGCCAGGGTCTTTATCTGGAAGTTGGACATTGAGTGTGGTGTTGATAGCAACAGAGCAGGATGAGAACATTCATCTGCATGGCAAGCAGAATGGCTTGATAAGAAATCCTAGCCTTGTGCTAGACTAGTTAGGTGTTTAGCAACATAAAAGAAAAACAAGCAGTGTCCTCTTTAGAGAAGTATGAATGGTGCCTCCTACTCCATTATTAACTCAGGAAGTATGCTGACCCTCAGCAGAGGATGTGAGGAGTCTCTCATCACCATTGTGCTCTGTACTAGAAGAGTAGAGAACTCTGGGAGGAAGAAGTTAAGGAAGACTCCCAGAGGAAAAGGGAGATCATCTATACATAAGAAAAAGAGGAGAGGGAATGGGTTTTCCTTGTATACTAAATACCTAGGTTATGATTTGGAAGAATGAAGAAGCATAGCTGTTTTTTTTTTTGTCTGTCGTGGGGCTTGAACTCTGGGCCTGGGCGCTGTCCCTCAGCTCTTCAGCTCAAGGCGAGCACTCTACCACTTGAGCTACAGCGCCACTTCCGGTTTTCTGGTGGTTTATTGGAGATAGGAGTCTCACGGTCTTTCCTGCCTGGGCTGGCTTTGAACCGCGATCCTCAGATCTCAGCCTCCTGAGTAGCTAGGATTACAAGCGTGAGCCACCAGCGCCCGGCAGCATAGCTGTTTTTAATTCTTTGCATTTTATCCTCTTCTGATTTGGAGATATTGGACAAGGACATAGAATGGATAGATGGGCAGGCAGGGCTAAAGCCTGGCATTTGTGCTCATACCTGGGGGACTGTGTCTCACTCAGGCGAGGAGACAACCTCTTCCCCAAGAATGATGATGGGACGATGCGCTATGACTCCATCCACTACAAGGAGACCTGGAAGGCACTGGAGGCACTGGTGGCAAAGGGGCTGGTGCGAGCACTGGGCCTGTCAAATTTCAGCAGTCGGCAGATAGATGATGTACTTAGTGTGGCTTCTGTACGCCCTGCTGTGTTACAGGTGAGCGCTGCAAATAATTAGTAGTTTGGGGGGTGAAGAGGACCGTTGATGAATCTTCTTTTTTTTTTGTCAGTCATGGAGTTTGAACTCTGGGCCTGGGCGCTGTCCCTCAGCTCTTCAGCTCAAGGCGAGCACTCCACCACTTGAGCTACAGTGCCACTTCCAGTTTTCTAGTGGTTTATTGGAGATAGGAGTCTCACAGTCTTTCCTGCCTGGGCTGGCTTTGAACCGTGATCCTTAGATCTCAGCCTCCTGAGTAGCTAGGATTTCAGGCGTGAGCCACCGGCTTGATGAATCTTTTTAATGGAGAATATCTGCGAGTTGTCAGAGTGTAATACATAAAGTTGGGTTTCAAGTCCTGGGAGAGAATGAGGCCACCACTGGAAAATCATTTTAAAAAGTGGCTGAAGAGGGCTGGGAAGGTGGCTCAGTAGTAGAGTGCTTGCCTAGCATGCAGGAAGCCCTGGGTTCGATTCCTCAGCACCACATAAACAAAAGCTGGAAGTTGCACTGTGGCTCAAGTGGTAGAGTGCTTAGCCTTGAGCAAAAAAAGCTCTAGGACAGTGCCCAGGCCCTGAGTACTAGCCCCAGGACTGGCAACAACAACAAAGGAAATAATAATAAAAACAAACAAAAAGTGGCTGAAAAGTGCTGGGGATTAATCACTGAAGGGCTAGTCCAGATATGCATGTATTGGAGGGGCCAAGTAAGCTGAGCATGGCCATTCCATGATAATGGGTTCTTCCTTGGCTCAGGTGGAATGCCACCCATACCTGGCTCAGAATGAGCTTATTGCCCACTGCCAAGCACGCGGCCTGGAGGTGACTGCTTATAGCCCTTTGGGTTCCTCTGATCGGGCTTGGCGACATCCTGATGAGCCTGTCTTGCTTGAGGATCCGGTAGTCCTGGCACTGGCTGAAAAGTATGGCAGATCTCCAGCTCAGATCTTGCTCAGGTGGGGAGTATTCTTGAGAATGGGTAAAGAGACTCTGGAAGGACAGAGTGCTCCCAGGTGGGAGGAAAAGATTAAGGGATTTTTTTTTTTTTTTGGTCATGGGGCTTGAACTCTGGGCCTGAGTGCTGTCCCTTAGCTCTTCAGCTCAAGGTGAGCGCTCTACCACTTGAGCCACAGTGCCACTTCCGGTTTTCTGGTGGTTTTTATTGGAGATAAGAGTAACACAGACTCTCCTGCCTGGGCTGGTTTTGAACCTTGATCCTCAGATCTCAGCCTCCTGTGTGGCTAGGATCACAGGTGTGAGCCACCGGCGCCCAGCGTAAGGGATTCTTTATCTGGGTGAGGTTGAAACCTTGCTATGTGATCTCTTGGGAGGCTTTCTGATGTATGTTTCTCATTTCATTCCAGTGGGGCTCTAGGTGTTCCATGATTTTAGGGAAGGCTGCATGGAGAACAAAACAATGTCTGAATACTGATTCTTTCTCATTTACCTTTATCCCTAATTTAGGTGGCAGGTCCAGCGGAAAGTGATTTGCATCCCTAAAAGTATCACTCCTTCTCGTATCCTTCAGAATATCCAGGTACTTGATCATAGGTTCTATCTTCTTTACTCCAACTATGCCTAGGCAATGTTAGGCTAGGGACATGGTTCAAGTGTCTCAGTGCTAGCTAGCTAGCAAGCATGAGACCCCAAGTTCAAACCACTGTGCCACACGGAAGAAGAAAAAAAAAAGGCACACCGCTGGCTTTTTTTGTTCCTAGGTGTTTGACTTCACCTTTAGCCCAGAAGATATGAAGCAGCTAGATGCCCTGAACAAAAATTGGCGATATATTGTGCCCATGATTACGGTAAGGATTCATCACCTCTCAGAGAATGAGAGATTTGGGGAGCGGTTAAACGCAGGTCTTGCCTCAGGCCTGATGAGTAGAGGAGAGACAAGATATTGGTGAGATTGCTATCCTGGATACAAGGGTTTCTTTTTTGAAGTCAGTGAATTGAGCCCCAGTGAAGGCATGCAGTCTATGAGCTAAATTCTGCTTTATATCTTATGACAAGTTAACTTCTCCAGTCCAGTCAAATTTTAACCCAGTGAAATGATTTGATACGTGTTGATTCTGTGGCATCTTCTAAGGCTGGGGTCCCAGCCACTGTCATCTGACCAAGTACTATACATAGGTATAGCAAAGTAAAGTTTAGGGGGAATGCTGGGGTCTTTGGAATGTCAGCCCTTGCTAATGGAGTCATCTCTCTTTCTAGGTGGATGGGAAGAGGGTTCCAAGAGATGCAGGACACTGTCTGTATCCCTTTAATGACCCTTACTGAGCTTGGCTTACCTCCCAGTTTTCCAGCTAAGTAACTGCCTGCCACTCCCAGAAAAAGGGAGTCAATAAAGCCATTGGAACATCCACACTGTTTGCTTGACATACTTGCCTGGTGGGGCCTGGGATGGAAGGTGTTACCCACAGAGATGACAGTTATAGGGCTGCTTTGTGTTACCTGCCCTTACAGTTTACTCTTCATTATCTTTATTGGATCTGGAAGCGCCTGCTGGAATCTGAATTCTGCTTTGAGTAGCACCATCTAGTGGCACTTGGTAGTGGTGCATTTCTCCCTAGAATTGTAGTCACCTCAGAATCATTATCATCAGCCTCACTGACTGTTCTGTGGCCTTGTGACAACCCCCACTCCCTGATCATTGCCCTAAGTTTAGGAATATGAAGAACTAAAAAAAGTATATTCACAAGTTTTGGGAGCTGGGTACCAATGTCTCATGCATGTAATCCTAGCTACTCAGAAGGTTGAGAATTGAGGATTGTGGTTTGAAGCTAGCCTAGGCGAAAAATCTCCTTAAGAGTTATCTCTCAGCCGGGCGCTGGTGGCTCACGCCTGTAATCCTAGCTACTCAGGAGGCTGAGATCTGAGGATCGTGGTTCAAAGCCAGCCCGGGCAGGAGAGACCGTGAGACTCCTATCTCCAGTAAACCACCAGAAAACCGGAAGTGGTGCTGTAGCTCAAGTGGTAGAGCGCTGGCCTTGAGCTGAAGAGCTGAAGGACAGCGCCCAGGCCCGGAGTTCAAGCCCCACGGCCGACCAAAAAAAAAAAAAAGAGTTATCTCTCAGTAACAAACAAAAAGCCAGAAGTGAAGCTGTACCATCCTTGAATGAAAAAGCTAACACTATGAGTTTAAGTACCAGTACCAGCACAAAAGTTTTGGGGTTCCAGCTTGTAAAATCACAAAAAGTAGGAACAATGACTTCTCTCTGTGTATAAGCTAACAGAAGGAGGCAGGGTCAGGCCCAAAGCTTGTCACCCAACCCTGGGTACTATTTCAAGTACTTTATAGTTGTAGTCCTATCAGAGGCTACCAATAATTAATTTTTTTATTTTGTTTTTTTGTCGGTCGTGGGGCTTGAACACTGGGCCTGGGTGCTATCCCTCAGTTCTTCAGCTCAATGCGAGCACTCTACCACAGTGCCACTTCCAATTTTCTAGCAGTTTATTAGAGATCAGAGTCTCACGGACATTCTGGCCTAGGTAGGCTTTGAACCGTGATCCTCAGATTGCAGCTTCCTGAGTAGCTAGGGTTACAGGTGTGAGCCACCAGCACCAGGCTCCCAATAATTAAATTTTAGAGAGTTTTTTTGGCAAATAACCAAACTTGTTCTAAACTTCAACGTGTGTGTGTGTGTGTGTGTGTGTGTGTGTGTGTGTGTGTGTGTGTGTGTGTGTGTGTGTGTGTGTGTGTGTGTGTGTGTGTGTGTGTGCTGGTAATGGGTCTTGAACTCAGGGTCTGAGTACTGAACTTTTTTTTTTTTTGGTCAGTCATGGGGCTTGGACTTAGGGTCTTGGTACTGTCCCTGAGCTTTTCTTTTTTTTTTTGGGTCCGGTTGTGGGGGCCTGAACTCTGGGCCTGGGTGCTGTCCCTCAGCTCTTCAGCTCAAGGCTAGCACTCTACCACTTGAGCCACAGTGCTACTTCTGGCTTTTTTCTTTAAGTGGTGCTGAGGAATCGAAACCAGGGCCTCAGGCATGCAAGGCAAGCGCTCTACCACTGAGCCATCTTCCCAGCCCTTGAGCCACAGTTCTACCTGCTCCACCTCCAACTTTTTTTTTTTTTCTTATGGACTTTCCTTCCTTGGCTGGCTTTGAACCGTGATCCTTAGATCTCAGCTTCCTGAGTAGCAGTGGCGGGGCTTGAATTCTGGGCCTGGGTACTATCCCTCAGCTCAAGGTGAGCACTCTGCCAGTTGACCCACTTCCTGTTTTCTGAGTAGTTTATTGGAGATAAGATTCTCATGGACTTTCCTGCCTGGGCTGGCTTTGAACTGATCCTCAAATTTCAGCCTGCTGAGTAGGTAGGATTACAGGCGTAAGTCACTGTCCCCAATGTTAGTGAGACTCTTATTTCTAATAAACCACTCAGAAAACTGGAAGTGATTCTGTGGCTCAAGTGGTAGAGTGCTAGCCTTGAGCTGAAGAGTTGAGGGACAGTTCCCCCGCCCAGAGTTCAAGTCCCACAACCCCTCCCCCCCAAAAAAAGTTACAAGGCTTGTCTTAAGTCTGGAATTGTCATTTTTAGGCCTGGCTCTATAACCCCAAACAATTTGACCTGCTTGAGCCTTGGGAGATTGGATAACAGTCATTTCTGGGAACCTTTACCAGTAAGTATCCTTGAGCCTGAAAGCAAATAACCACCCCTGTCCTACTCACTAGACTGGAAGGGAATGAGTGGATGCTCAGGGATCAAGGGAGTGCAGCTTTTCAGACTGACAGACATATTTCACTTAGCCAGCTTTCAGGGAAAGGAGCTGAAATCTCTTACTCAGAAAATGATGCACACTGTTAGCCATTACCAACTTCTGGCTTTTTTTTTATTGTGAAAATACCGTACAGAGCGGTACAATTACATGGACAAGGTAATGAGTACATTTCTTATCAAGCACTGTTGCCTCCTCCTTTGTTTCCCTTCCCATCCCTTTTCTGGTGTTTTTTTTTTTTTGAGCAAGTCAAACCTTGCTTCTACCTCTTAGTTTCTTTTCTTTTTTAGTATACATCCTATCCTGGGGTTTGAACTCAAGGCCTGGTCATGGTCCCTTAGCTTTTTTTTTGTTTTTTGTCAGTTGTGGGCCTTGAACTCTGGGCCTGGGCACTGTCCTTGGAGATAAGAGTTTCACAAGCTTTCCTGCCTGGGCTGGCTTAGAACTGCAATCCTCAGATCTCAGCCTCCTTAGTAGCTAGGATTACAGGTGTGAGCCATGGGCAGCGGGCTGGTCCCTTGGCTTTTTTGCTAAAGATTAGTGCTTACCACTTTGAACCCCAGTGCCATTTCTGGCTTTTTGATACTTAATTGGAGATACAAGTCTCATGGACAGTGCTGGGAAGGTGGCTCAGTGGTAGAGTGCTTGCCTTGCATGCCTAAGGCCCTTGGTTCGATTCCTCAGCACCACATAAGTAAAAAGAAAAAAGCCCGAAGTGGTGCTGTGGCTCAAGTGGTAGAGCGCTAGCCTTCAGCTGAAGAGCTGAGGGACAGTGCCCAGGACCGGACCCAAAAAAATAAAAAATAAGAGTCTCATGGACTTTCCTGCCCAAGTTGGCTTTTGAACAGGCATGAAACTAAGGCTCACCTTAGTTTCTATCTATGAAATGGGGCTAACACCAGTCTCACTAGTATTGGTTCTGTTAAGACTCAAACAGGGTTGGGAATGTGGCTTAGTGGCAGAGTACTTTCCTAGCATGAATGAGACCTGAGTTCGATTCCTCAGTACTACATAAACAGAATAAGCTGGAAGGGGGACAGTGGCTCAAGTGGTAGAGTGGTAGCCTTGAGCTGACCAGCTGAGGGACAGCGCCCAGGCCCAGAGTTCAGGCCCCACAACCGACAAAAAAAAAAAAAAAAGCTAAGGGACAGTGCCTAGGCCCTGAGTTCAAGCCACAGGACTGGGGGAGGGGGGAGGGAAAGGGGCTAAAACAACACCAATAGCTTTGGGTTGGGAAGGTGGCTCAGTGGTAGAGTGCTTGGCTTACGTGTATGAGGCCCTGGGTTCGATTCCTTATCACACATAAGCAGGAAAAAAAGCCGGAAGTGATGCAGTGGCTCAAGTGTGAGAGCTCAGAGTTCAAACCCCATGACTGAAAAAAAACAACAAAAAACCGATAGCTTTAAAGCGTTTAAACACCCTTGGGCATAATAGATATTTAACAAATTGTAAGCCTGGATTGGTTTCAAAGGAGCTAGAACTAGTCAGAATTGGAATCTGGGTAGCGTGATTTAACAGGATGACACCAGTGGATTGGGCCAGACAAAGGGGGCGAGTCCACACAGAGAAGCCAACCGCATTCCGCCCCCTCCCCCGCCCCACTGCGCTTTAAATGAAGCGCGGTAATTTCAGCTGCAGCCAATCCTAGGCCAGCAACTTTTTGCGTCATTAGTTGCGGAGGCCCAGAGCCACGCTTCTTGGGGAGGTCGTTTCTAGCCGTTGCTGCTGCACTCGTGCAGCGCTCTGGCGTGTCTATACGTTAGTACTGAGAGGAAGTAGAGAAAAATCTGAGTCACCTTCTTGGGTGAGAAGGCGTTCGGCTACTCGTCGAACACTCGCGGAATAGCGCCGGCTTCACGTGGAAGCTGCAGGCTGGCACCCCGTGAGGGGTTGTACCAACATTCTCGTTCCCTAACTAGACTCCCTATAGAAGCAGGAAGCTGTTCTGAAGGAAGGCAGGTCAGGTCGGGAAGGCACTAACGAGACTAGGGTGGGAGGTGTCCTTGGGATAGAATAGGGGTTTGAGTCCTGTCCCTTTAAATCCGAGGGGGAGGATCCGGAAGTGGATGGGCGGGGCCGAGGCTTGGGTATATAGGAGGGCTCCAGACGCGCGGGGTCTCCAATCTGCCATTTTCTGTTCCCCGAATTGCTCCCTGGCGTCCCAAATTCCCTGGTTTCCTCACAGGCTTTATCCCCGCGCGGCGTTCCACCACCTCAGGGGAACGATGGCCACAGAGTCCACAGCCACTGCTGCTATCGCCGCGGAGCTGGTTTCCGCAGACAAGTAAGCGGGGCTGTGGCGGGCTAGAGACTGCGGCCAGTCTGGGAGGGCTGGTGTGTGGGAAGGGTAGTCCGGTGGTGGGAGGGCTGCCTCCCGGCAAGCCGCTGGCGATGTCTGGGGAGGCTTGGCCGCCGGGGAAGCCGCTTACGGAGAGCCCGCGCACTGGCGATTCCGGCGGGCGGCTGGCGCCCCCTGCCCCGCTTTCTGCGGCCGCCATCTTGCCGGGGGCAGCGGCGGCTGTCTCCATCGCCTACCCCTCTCCTTCCCGTCCCCGGCCCGGGGCTTCCAATGGGGGGGCGGGGTCCTGGCGTGCCGGCGTGCCTCGACGTCCCTGCTTGTCAGCGCACTAGTAGTGTGGCCCTTCTG